GCTTAATTGTTCCTTGTTATTTCCTGGCTTCAAAGTGTGAGATCGCTCCCATTTGAAGACTTCAGATTGTCTGTATTTGTGCAGTGCATTGTCCACCATCTTTATTGTCTTCCACCTGTTCCCATAGTGCTCAAGCTCTTTCTTTCCTCCAGAAAGACCTATCTCCAGTGTCACATCACTGGCTTGTGTTGCTTGTGCCAAGTGAAGGTGTTATTGAGGATACACAGAATTCACACTATAATGAGCAGTGACAGGATGTCATCCACTCTGCCACAGATCAACCCCCAGCCCGCTGCTGCCACCCCTGCACCCACCTGCACCCATCCAGCTGAGTCCTCCTGTTTGTATGATGTCAGCCCGCACACCTCGCTTGTTTCCACAGAGTTGTTGTAGCCGCAGAGAAGATTGGCCTGTTGATGATGTCGCAACAAGGAGGCAACATTCTCTCTGTCCCTTGTTCCTCAGCCTGACCTGATATGACTGAGTTGTCTTCTCAGTTTTTCCACAGTTGTGCCATCGTTTGGTATTTTCCTTGTCCTCCTTCTGGTACCTCTGATCTCCTTGGAATTCAAAAGAGAGCTGCCCTCTCTAAGTGGCCTTTGGCTGTGTTTGATCACTGGTTGAGTTATAGATGTCTCCATGACTCATAACTCAGACTCCAGACTCAGATGTCAACATAACATATGTTGTTTTCCCGCTCCCCTACCACACATTGTGCGTGAATAGAGTATGTGGTGATGTAGGAAAGAGTAAGGGATTGTGCTCTAAAGCGGCACTTCCTGAGCTTTTTGGCTTCAGATATCCCAAACTGAAACTGAAATACTCTATGTGACTCAGAGGTGTGTTGTGTCTCTCCTCTGATTGAGTTTTTTTTTTACAAAGAAAGGTTCTGATGCCTTCAGTCTTCTTGACCCAGGGTTGGGAACCGTTACTTCTCTAAAGGGCCGTTTCAAAAAGTCATTGTTCTACACACTGTAGTCTTTATGGTTGCATGAAATGAGGTCCTCTGTTGTACATTTGAGAATTTATTGCATTTTCCAAACCAGCAGCCTTGCCTTTGCAGACTTCATTTTATTATAGCTCTTTGTTTCTTATATATGTACTGTATAGAGCTGGCTAGGAGGAGACTGAACAGCGGGAGTTCAAGCAAGGTTCACACGTATGGCTAACTTGTTCCAAATGAGTGTGAGGAATGCCTGCGTACTTGCTCTCCTTATTAACCAAACATCACCTTGTCAGACCCTACATGCCTGTTCAGAGCTCCTCCCTGTGCCACACATAATGAGATGACTATCTCAAATCAGCTTTCTTTAATTAGAGTTACACCACAAAGTAAGCTTTTCGCCAGTCTCCTCCTAAGAGCGCATTTTATACGCTCTCTCTCTCTATCGTGATAAAATAATTCCCATAAGGAAGTGATTACACATTTGGATAATTCTGAGCAGATGTGAAAATGTCTCAACAAGTTGACAAGGCTGTGGTGGAAGTCACTGTTGAAGCAGCATGCAGCACCATCAAGAAACTATGTTCAGAGCCTTGAGCCTGGCAGTAGAGGTAAAATATGAATGGATGGAAGATGATGATAAAACATGATCGATTGTTCACTATTTTAGGGACTTTATGAACTCAGAAACCGCCTCCTTGAAATCGTTAGCAGGCTGTTTATCATAGTGACCACTGTGTTGTATTTGGACAGGCAGATACTGCACGCGTTACTTTGTAATTCAGCCGTGTTGAGGCCAGCCATTGTGGAAGAAAAAAGGCAGCTTATGATTCATGTTTTGAGTACTAGTGCAGATGTAAGAGTATCTTTAAAAACATCTGCCATATTGTCAACAATAAACAGAACTTGTCTTTAGCATTAATATGCCCACACAATGGAAAAAAGCTTCAGGATACTATTAAATGATATTTCTTTTCTTTTTTTTTTACAGTTCAGGCCAGCAGGGTTCATAAGACTGCAGGAGATGCAGTGTTTGTCTGAATGTTTACTGTGCTTTGGGTTTGTTTAAGAACTAAATTGTGAATTTATTAACATCCTGTTTTTTAAACTCTTGTGTTATTTCACTGTCTATATTAAAAAAAGGCTTATTCCTTTTTTATTTTATGGAGTTAATTTAGAGACAATGTAGAACAGAGGATCAGCTCTGACAGACATCTTTCAGAATCACATATAATCTAAACATATTCTGCACGCCATTCACTGAAGACAAAAGGTGTTGTTTGGTTGCGTTTAACACTCCACCCTCGCTTACCAAAAGATAAAAGCATTGTTAAAATTTAAATAGAGTAAAAAAATAATGTTTATATACACTTAATGCCTGTACTTCTCGCCTTTGTTCAGCTCAGACAAAGATAAAGACTAAATTGGTGATGCCTCTCATCAAAGGTGTTTTGTGCTCCTCAATGTGAATAACTAAACACTGTGTATGGAGAAAATACATGTAGATAGGAAGGAGAGGGGGGTGTTCACCTACAAGCAAAAAAGAAACTTTGGTAATTGCCATAACACAAATAATGAGAGGCTATGTGGGAAAGTGTTTGAAGAGCGGTCCTGATCAAGATAAGATTGGAGACATTATCGAGAGAGAGGAAGTGTTTTTCTGTCTGCTGTGGCTGAAAGGAAACTTAAGTGACAGAGTTACTTATATGAGCCAGACGCTGAGCTGAACCCTGCAGAAACAACCAAGCTAAATGGAGTTTAGGGTGTGACGAGGACGAGTGTGATTCAGACACCACTTGTGGTCAGATAATACAAAAACAGGCACATTAGGACTACAAAACTGCTGTTTGGAGCAGCATACGGATCATATAAAGGTGTCCTTTTCTAACATAATTCAAGTGATGGAAAGAGTGAAACAGTAGTCGCCCACTAGTGGACATTGTGTCATAACAATATGAAAACATTGGAATCCCAAACATAAAAAAAGAAAACTACAAGAAACTATAACCGTAAGTCTTTTTGAAATTAACTGTTTTTGTTGAGCTCTTACGGGGCCTTGATAAGGAGGCTTTAATAAACTGTTTTTCTATTCAAAGCTGTTGTTTTCAGTTCACTTCTAGAAGAAGTTACTTTAAATTTAGAAAAACATTATGATTTTACATTCATCATCTGGCCTCTTCACATGAAGAAAAAATTGAACACAAACAAACAACTATAAAATATAGTGTGATCAATGTAGTAAAGTAAAATCTGGCAACTGATCTATAGTACAACATACTTGACTTTTTATTTGGATGAAAATTGGAACAGTACAGTATGTTGATTAATATTCTTGAAATACTTAAAAAAGCATAAAAGCATTAGAATATACAGGATACACTGCAGTCCAGTTATTTCTGTCCTACAAGAGAGAAAAAAATCACCTGTGTCTTTATGTTTGCAAAAATACTACAAACTGAACAATACATTTAAATTCATAATAATGTAAGTGATGCAAAATGTATCTGCACACTGCAAACTCTTTTCTTTTGGGTGTAATTGTCAACAGCTGCAGAACAAATGAATACCAGGCTAATAATGATTAGGATAACAGAGGCAAGACCTGGTGTATGTGAACCAATAATATTTGCAGGGAGACGGGATTATTCGCTTTATTTGCGTGTCTGTGTGATTTCAAAAACATACCTGTTGTAGCTTTTAGAGAGAGAGAAGTTGGATATTTGTAAGAGAACATGCTTTCCGTAAGAGAAATTTGCCATTGTTTGGATTTCACATGATTGATGCTTGACTTAATCCAGTGCTCTTTGCGCCTTCCCAGGAGGGTGAGGCGGTCTCTTTGTGCTTTTCTGTCCCATGTGAAGCAAACCAAAGCGGGAGAGTGAGGGTCATAGCTATTCGGCAGGGTACCAGATCCTTCCCACCGGCACATCTGCATGTGAAATCGCCATTTCACCCCTCCACACTCCCTAATTGTTGCTAAAATTATTTGTGAAATTGCCTTCCACCAGGAGTGTTTTCCACGGCAATTGTCACACAATTTTATATGCACGGTGGGCCCACAGAGTTGACACATGCACCTCTTCTTTTCTGCCATATGTGCTCTTTTTATTCGAGTTTAATAGTAGCGCTTTTTTTTTTTTTTAACAATTACCTTTAAGCAATTACTCTTGTGCGTACTCGAGGGCAAGTCAACCTGTTGTCATCAATAGCGGGTCGATCCAAATGTTGTAATTACCTCAAAAGCTATAGGAGCGATTTAGATGTTCATGCTGCGCACATTTACTTAATTGAAAGGTTAACAAGCCAAAAGCATCTTATAGTCTAACCTTCGCCAAGCAGGGCTGCTTTTTGCGCAGCATTTGTCCATTCAGACTCCACATCATCAACTCTAGACTCAATTATTTGGGGCCGAGATTTTTTATTCACACGAAGGTCTGCGTGTGCACCGGTGCATCTATGGAAGAATAACTTTGGATGCAGACGTTTATAGACTATTGAGGTTTAATCGAAAACAGCATAATTTTGGTCAATGAATTAAAATATTTTTTCCAAATATGATTTTTTTTTTAATCGGAATTTAATTCTTTATTTGCAGACATTATGAAAAGTCATGTATTTTAAGAAACTTGAGGTTGTGTGTTTTAAATAAACGAAATTATTTCAGTTTTAATTTCTAGCTTTCTTTGCTGTTATAGATGTAGTTTATATGGACTATAGCCTATGCTTTTTTAAATTTACTGAGATTCTCCTGATCAATCAAAGAAAGAAAGAAAGAAAATCATAATTTTGAAAGCATTAATATTCCACAGGTTTGATCAGCTGAATGTCACGGAAGCAGACACATTTAGAAAAGACAGGCTTTAGAATAACATTTAGATATAATAACATTTTGAGCTGGTTTTTGGTGTATGGGGTCTTATGAGGGAGGCAGCAGTGAATTAAAAGTGGAATGTGTTACTCTGATTGGTCCGTCGGCTTCTGGCTAAACCCACTCTCTTTCATCCATAAAAGAAAGGCCAGGGAGCCTATGGGAGCGCTCGGCTGTCTCCTCCTACGACATGCACGAAAGTTGGCCACTTAAACTACTTCCAACCAGCCAGCAGACATTATACTGAACCCAAACTACACCAAGGGAAAAGAATAACAGTGCATTTTTTTCCCCACCTTACACACAACTTTAAGTGCAACTGCTCTATTTTGCAATTTTTTTTACATTTTATTTGTAGCTGCCGTTATTTATTTTTATTTTTGGCTCGTCCATCGCACCAGAGGAGCGCATCACTTTGATTTTTCCCCCGGTGGAAGAAGGGCTTGTCCAGTTTCTCCGCCTGGGATTGGGATTTGACAGCAAGACTCAGCATCTGTTCGAGCATTTTGAAGACATTCCGGTTTTTTTTTTTGACTTGGACTTTGTGAGAGTAGCAGGTTCGAGTCCGTTGTGTTGTTTTGTCTGAGTAGCTAAATGATGGCTACTTTACCAGGAACTGTGCCTCGGATGGTGCGCCCTGGGCCGGGCCAGAACTACCCCCGAACCGGCTTCCCCCTGGAAGGTAAGACAAATGACAACATGTGTGTTGATGTTTGAACTTGTGCTGTGACAAAACTCCTCGGTACTCCGCTCTGTCAGCCTGATATTCACACTCGGAGCACAGTTTGTTACCGGCGACATGCTGGGAAATAAAAAGGTGGGTGAACAAATGCGACCTCCAGTCAGTGCTGATTAAAGTTAACAACCTGAATCAAAAGTGAATTATAGTTGGAGAAAAGCATCAGTTCGTGCTTTGATAACCAACCAGCCCTTTAACATATCTTATACTCATTCAGCCTGTTATTATGTTATTGTTTATGAATGTATGTATCTGTATTTATTTGTAACTGATTTGTGTTTGGAGTTCAGACATATCTTCTCCCGGTAATTCCTGCTTATTGCACAGAATATACTTGAATTATTTATATTAATTACGATTTATTTATTAATAGTATTATTAGTATTTGTTTTATGTTTTTGATCATTTGACGTTCAAATTATATATATGTTCTATTAATAATAATTTTAGGCCTACAGAATAAATACAATTATTCTTTGTGCTAAAATTGCAGCCAATCTAAGACTAATTTACCTTTATAATACTTTAGCTGAAAGAATAATCAGATGCTTTTCTTTGTACATTTTAAGAAACATTTCTTACCAGTCCAACTTTTATTGTTACACACACACTCCAAAAAAAAAAGCAATCTAATTGGTAATTTTATAAAATTTTGATGTCCACACTCAAGTCGTCTGAACATATGGGCGGAAAAAAGATCACTTTGTATTTGCATGCATTTATTGAAACAGTTTTCCCATTACACCCAGTTCGTGCTCAAGTGCTCTGGACTGAAATGTACAAAAACCACGTAGCTCGCAAGTTACTCGAGCTCCGGGATTTGCTCAAGTGTCCTGCTGCTGGAAATGGCAATAATACACACAGCAAAGAGATGACTCAAAGGATCACATCAATATTTGTACAGCATGACTAGGAATAATCAAGGTGGGAAGTGTCACCCTCTTTAGTGTCTCTTGAATGTGAAATTGGATCGTGAAGTGGCCTCGGATACATCCTGTCAGCCAGACAGACGCTGGATGAATCTGGCTCGACGCTCTCTTGAAAATGTATAATATGATAATGTGCGTAAACTGCGTCCCATTAAAAGTCAGCAACACAGCAAACACGCCACTATTTGACAATAACACAAGGCTGAATTAGCTCTCATTTATAGCCTTGGGTGGAGTGAACATTTGAAAAGCTTAAGAGAACTGTTGTTGTTTTTGATGTTTTTTGAGACTTTTATTGTTTATTGTGGCGCAGTATCCACCCCTCTGGGCCAGGGTAGGGTGAACCAGCTCGGCGGTGTGTTCATCAACGGGAGGCCCCTGCCAAATCACATCCGACACAAGATAGTGGAGATGGCCCACCACGGCATCCGACCCTGCGTAATCTCGCGACAACTGAGAGTTTCTCACGGTTGCGTCTCCAAGATCCTCTGCCGATACCAGGAGACCGGATCGATCCGTCCGGGGGCCATAGGAGGCAGCAAGCCCAGGGTGAGTGGGATCCAGGAACGGGTCTGTCAGTGGGGTCCCTCATTGCAGCGCGAGGATGAGCGTCACGAGGTGCATGACACCTGAGTGAGCTCAAAGCTGGTGTTATTAAAACAGCCTGATGGAGAGCAAAGATCAAGACCAAAAATAATGTTTTTATCTGGATGTCTGACATCTAATAATAATAATAATAACAATAATAATAATAATAATAATAGCTGACCAGTGACTTATGTGTCCTTAAATTACAAATACATTGACATTACAGCCCACCTGTAACATCCTTTTTTTGGATATAACAAACTTGCAGGTGATATTTTGTTTTTCCTAAATATTTGAATAAATATATTTAACGTCATCTAAACTAAATTATGAAATCATTTACCTAAAAAATAACTTAAATAAGTGATTGATTGTACATATTGTGAACATTTAATAATAAATAATGGGGGTTTTCCATTATATTATTTTGTATTATATGTATATATATATGTGTGTATGTGTAAAATAAGCTATTTTATTTATAGTGCCGTTCACTGATACTACAATATTCCTATTTAAAAAATATAGGTCCACATAATTTATAGTTATGTTTTATAGGATCACATTTTTTGTTCTTTAAAAATTCCTCTTAATTAAAACTGTCTGAAATTTCTCCTTTTCCCTCCTTTTTTTTTTTTTTTTTCCCTGCCTTTACACCATTTCAAACCTAAAGCAGGTGGCAACTCCTGACGTGGAGAAGCGGATCGAGGAGTACAAGAGAGAAAACCCGGGTATGTTCAGCTGGGAGATCCGGGATAAGCTGCTGAAGGACGGGGTGTGCGACAGAAGCACAGTTCCTTCAGGTGAGGCTTCATCTGGTAAGCTGCACTTTTTTTTTTTCTTATTACGAGCGAACACTGCAGCATCACTTCTGAACATCACTTTGAATCCAACATGTTTTAAGCTCCTCAGTTACTGATAATAAAATGTTTCAGTGTAGCAGGAAGCACACCTATAGCTGTTTGACCCAGAAAAAAAATCACCCTGTTGGGGAAATATGCCTTTGCTGCTCGATAGTTTTTTTGTTTGTTTTTTTTAATTATTGCATTTACAGTATCATTTTACTCCTTTAATATAGAGTTTTATTTTAAACATTTTCTCAACGCAGCTGCTTCATGTAAAACTTTTTCCTGTGCTATTTTTATTTTTTTTTGTATGGTATCCTTCTAAAAAAAATGTATGATAGGATTACTATGGTTCTTTTATGGGTTTTAGGGCTAATCACCCATTTACCTTTTTGTTGCCATTAGTGAGCTCCATCAGCCGCGTTTTGAGGGCCCGATTTGGCAAAAAAGATGACGAGGATGACTGTGATAAGAAGGATGAAGATGGAGAAAAGAAAACAAAGCATAGCATCGATGGCATCCTCGGTGATAAATGTAAGTTAACAGCAGAAAGTATTTGGCCCTTTTGTATATGTCTGAAATAACTAATTATTATTATTATTATTATTATTATCATCATTATTATTATTATTATTATTATTACTACTATGTAGAGTATATCACATCCTTGTAGGCAGGAAGTAATTGTTTTAAACAGACTTCCTACTTTACGTCCTCTTGGGAAATTGTCCCTCATCCGAGCTGCAGCTAAACGCAGAGAATTTATTCCTGCTTTTAACTCCGAGCCAGCAGTTGTTCATTCACTCAATTATTTATGAGAGCCTTGGCAGAAGGTATTTAACTGCAGAAAATTAATTTGTGTAGCGAATTCCTCCTCATTCATTCACTCATTTAACGACCTCTAAACGACAGCTGACAGTTGACCCATTTCACAATCGATGTCAGTTCACTGACATTTCACCACTTGTCAGTTAAAGTGGAAATCAATGTTCATATTATTATTTGCTCTATTAGTAATGCTGCGAGGAGGGAGAAATAAATCTTTGATGCAGGTATTCGCTGTCAGTGTTTGTCAATAAGATTATAATAACCTTAAAATCTAGCGGTATCTCTTGTGGTATTTTTGTAGCCTATTTTACTTTTTTTTTTAATAAAATATTGCACGTGAGAAATGACACATTGGGAGGATTAGATTTTTTTTTAAATTAGAAAATGTGAGATTGTTTAATTTTGTGAGAGAGTTGTTTGACATTTTACGAGACAAACCTCTGATTTTATTGTCATATTTTATTGTCACATTATATTTAGAGCTGTTTTTTCTTGCCCATGGTGTTAAAAAAATGCTTCCAAAACCATATAAAGGTTTTGCCCCTTTTTGATGATCAAACATGACTGAATGGGGTTTAGATAAGAGTTCACAAAAGCCTCCCTTTTTCGCCTCAAAAAGACACTGCCAAAAATTTTTCAAACTTGAAGATGAACTTCACGAGAAAAACCTCCCCTCCATTGACGCTTTTCTAAAGTGAAGAGTCCGAGGTACAAAAGCAAATCCTGGAAAGCAGGGCAGCGAAAAGGAGAGTATGGGCCCGTCCATTCTCATTCAAAAACCGGGTAAAAGAGAGAGAAAACTTTGGACAAAGGGCAAGGAGAGACATAAAAGGAGATGAATTATTCAGTACGCCCCGCTGGTAGATAGTTTTGTAATTTTATATAATGGCCCGTTGGAGAAGAATCAGTTGATAGCGTGAAAACGGTCCCTTTTTTCTGTCACACCACGCATTAATGTTATGAGAAAAATGTGACAATTTTGTTGCAAATGTCTCCAGTGTTCAAATAGTCGGTCTGTAAACCCTGCTGGCTGTAAATGACCAACGTGTATTTTTTTTTTTTTTTTTTTGGAGACTCTGCTCGTTACGCACAACTCAGCCGCGTAAAACCGAGGACACGTTGTTTTTTTTTTTTTATAGTAATGTGATAGTTTGACTTGAAAAGTGTTAACCACATTATCACTGCATTATTGTTGACTCTCTACTGTTGGTACAAAATATCCTGCTTCTAGTTTTTTTTCCCCTCTTTGCGCTGCTTGTGTTTTAAATTGGGACTCAATTACGTTGCTATAAAAAGAGACGCACCCTTTGCGTAATGCAGTTTAGACTACCGGCATCCGGATGGCATCTAATAATGTTAATACTTATTAGAGTAAGCACTGGAAACGATGGTTGCTGAATAGGTGGCTGTGTTCGTGCCGGGTGTAATAGCTCGCAGGCATGGTAAGAAATGTATTTATCCCCAATCAGCCCCTCACTCTCCGAGTTTGAAGCACAGCCCTTATGTGGAGAGGGGTTTTAAAGCAGATTAAATAGAGCCTTTTATTTCTTTTCACTTTCATCTCAGAGCGGAGCTCACAGTGGCTCGCCCAGGGCACAAAATTCATGAGATTTTTTTTTTTTCGTTTACTTATCCAGATTTTAAGACTTTATTTATTTATCTATTTGTTTATTAGGCCTGTGTATTTGATTTTCTCAGAGGTTACATCACGGATTTATCCCAGCTCTAATCTAGCTTTATTAAACGTGTATTTAGACTGCTAACCATATTATAATATTGTCAGTTTTATTTTGTTAAGTGGAGTTATTTCTCAGGCGAATGTAGTGCTTGGTGCTAAACCAACCAGAAGTTAGCGTATGCACCGAAAATAGTTCCACCTTTTCACGCTGATGTGTTGGTTTTATTATTCTTATTATTAATCTCGTGTGTGGATCACTGAGCAGAAATCTTGTTCCACCCAATTTTAATTTTATTTTATTTATTGGACAATGCAATTTAACATAGCTCCAATACAAACCATGAAACTGGTGCGCACTTTAATGCTCATCATACAGCTTTAAAATCCTGTGCCAAAGTTTAATTACGCGCAAGAAATGGGGGAAAGGTTGCACTACATCTGCGCAAACTTGGGCATCCTTTTGTTTTGCGCCACATTGCTCAGAAAGAGAAGGTGAATCAGATGTCCGGCGTCCATCTGCCACACTAATGCAACCAACCTGACCGTTAGATGAGGTGGAGACAGGCGATGGACACTTCAGCAAATCGCAGGATTACCTGAGGTCCTCAAACTAATTAAACAGATGCCAGGTGGGATTATTTCCGCGCATCAGGGAGGGAAAGTGACAGAGCAGCGGAGAGGTGTGAGGAAGTCAGACGAACCAAAGATCCAAGTTAGGGTTGGTTAAGGGGAGGCTACTGTTACATTCAGTGAAATGTCATTTGTAATGGGAGGAATATGATGCGCAAATTGTGATCCTCACTTTGTTTCAAATATATTTGGAGAATATAAGTGTCTCTAGATTTTCCCTTCCCCATTTCTGCCTCAGTGTGTCCTGGAAGTTACCCATAAAGCTTTGTTAATTTACTTCAAACCTCAACAAATTACGCCAAAAAAAGAAGCGTTTTCAGGTTTATCCTCCACTCCCAGGTACAACTGAGTTTTTCTATACAAACAAAGAAACACAAAACGAATAATTTCTGCTGTTATTAATGATAAACTCGCTCTATGGTGATGAAAAGTGTGAAAAGCTGCCCCCTGCGTGCTCTCCACGTCACACACACCACACACACACACACACACACACACACACACACACACACACACACACACACACACACACACACTTTCCCTGTACGCACACACCCAGTCTCTAAGTGTATGGTAATATAATGTAGCTATATTTCGGGTCTAAAGCCGTGCTGAATGAGAAGGACAGGGGAATGAAGCGAGAGACCACTTCAAACAAATCCATCTGGAACAGTGTGTGAGAGAGATTCAGTGAAAGTATGGGGAAGTTATTTAGCTATTAATAACGTTTTTTCCTCAGGCATTGAGAGTGACTCCATCTGCACTTTCTCGCAGCTATTTGGCTGGGTGGAAATTGAGGGAGACCCAAATGTTGGGCAGAGATAACATACCCATCATAGCCCAGACCCTGCGCTGTGCTTCACTGCATTAAACTCGGATTAACCTCCCCTGTCCCCGCAGCCACTCAAGCCACATTTCACTGGAATTTACATCGGTAGGCCTACATTTCTTATAAAGAGGGCAGGAGCTGAAAGACACGACACATTATTATTATTATTATTATTATTATTATTATTATTATTATTATTATTATTATTATTATTATTATGTTGTATTTGCAGTAAATTAATACATTTAAAACAGGTGGACAAATGTTTTATATACAACATTTTTTTGTTTTTTCTTATTTTTAGATGATGTTTGGTTACTTGGCACAGGTGATAGCTCGCTCAGCTAACAAAGGCTACCTATCTTTCTCTTATTATTGGAATAAAAAGGTAGCAGGATGACATGTCTCTGGGATAATATAATATACATATATAATGTACCATATTCCTTTTATGGTATGCTCATTACTATCAGAAATATTAATAATAACACCAAAAACTGATAGTGAGCACAAGCTAACTTAAATTGTAGTTTGTTGGTTGTCAGGTAACCGTTGCCAATAGCAACTATAACTGCTGTAACAGTAGACCTAAAGTGGAGTAAGAAATGGGCTAAAATCATATATTTTGTTGACACTTGACCCGTAGACAGGAGTTAATTTATATATATTTAATGCATTAATTTCCCACATGATAAAATTGGTAGTTTCTTTTTTTTTTTTTTTTTTAATTCAGCACGATTTATTTTATTTAAATACAAAAATGGTGGCATAATTTGTTGTTAATGACATATCGCGATATTTTGTGGCGAGGAGCTACTACCAGTGTAACAAATTAGCCTATTGGTTCCGGCAAGGTAACACGAGCGAACCATGCAACATAATAACATGAAAGCCATTGCTTATGAGTAATGAGTAACGCATCAATTTTAAGGAGTGCAGTTTAAGCTAGTAGGCCTACCATACTGCAGAGACATTTCAGTGGCAGGAGCTTTAAGTGTCGGCAGCATTAGGCTAAATAAAAAAAAAAAAAAATACTGAGTAGGCTTAAATTCATTCTGTGCTGGCATTTGACTTTGATCACATCAGAAATATTCATGGAAGCACAAACACTGGCTCTGCCGCCATTATCCAGGCTGACAGTGATACCTCTCAGGGCTGTCTATTAATTAAAGTGGCGCTTACCATGTGGGACGACTCCCTATCTGGGCACAAAAATGGTTTTTCCATCTCTTGTGGGGCTCTTGAAAAGGGGCAATCTTTCCTCTCCAGCTTCTTGTGGGAAATTTAAAAGTGTACAGAGGAAGACATGGGGATTTCTAGCTCATTTATAAAGACGAGTTTATAATCCTTTCCTGCTTAATAACTTAAAAGGATTCAATTTCTCCCCTCATTTATGGGGTTATGATCACACATTGTTAGGCGCTGATAGTAGCATTTCAAGGTTAACATTTCCTGCTCGAAAATATCAGAATATAAGCTGTAAGCCCATAGGTGCCCTTTGTTTAGGCTGCAATTTCCCCCCTACAAATGCTGATAGGCCCATTTTAGATGTTGTTACTATTAATGTGA